TAGCGGCGAAGTCATGTCATAACATTCCGATTAGACGAGCAATAATCTCGTGCGCCTGTGATTGGCCCATGACGTAGTGCATGGGATTGTCGGTAATAATTATCTGAACCCATTCTAAACTTTAATCCCACAATCCCAAGCACAACGAGCTCGTTACCAGTCTATATCTCACTTGATTCAGTGACTCACCAGCATGGGTTAGAATCACTCTCAAACACCAGCACTTCTCGATTATCGAGCACAATATAAAGAAGTTCTTTTCGTCGATCATGGCATACGTCCACGATAGACGAACCGAGAGTCGTGATCGGAAGCATTGCCGCCAATTGACATCCGGTCACCGGAGATATCAGCCGTATCCCACCGTCTATAGAATGTACGATGATTCTTGCCGGGTACTCGGGGCTTTCCACACGTACTATCCTGATAATCTTGGAACTCAAAGTTGCGAAAAGGTTATGGAAAAGGTTCATGTGCCAAACCTTAATGCTGTGTTTTGATCTATAATACAGCTTACTGGAGCTGATCAGATCCAAATGCAGGATTTCCTCTCCTGTTTGCAGACAATAAGTCTGTGTAAAAGTATCAAAGTTCCAGATGCGTATGGTCTTGTCACGTGACCCGGAGATAAGTAGTGGCTCGTGGAGATGAGTAACCAGGCTTGTGATGGCATCGCAGTGGCCTGGTACGAGTAAGGTTAGTATGCTTTAAATGAGAAACTGTGTCGCAGTGTTTATCTTTTCAACTCGATACTACTGTACTATTTTCTATTTGTATTTGTGAAAAACTCTCATTTAGAATGCATGTAGTGACAAACGAAAGCACAAAAAGCATGATAGCAAGAACCCACGCACTAGTTTTTCGGGATTGTAATTATCATTATTGATTAACAATAAAAAATGACCATACTTCCAGACATCGAGTGCTGAACCGTCGTATGGCAGCGCGAAGCATTTACGGCTACGCCGGAGATTTCGACCCCGACGCCGCTATCCAGAGATTTACAGACTGATCAGGAAGCTCGACCGAAGCCTAAGGGAGAGGTTAGTCGGCCCCTAGACCGTAGATGGGGCAGAACTGATTAAGTTAGAAATGTGGCCAAAAATACACAATAATTTGCAGCCACCTTATGTGCATGCGCTTAGTGCAGGCCAATAAACAAGCAAACGGTTTAACTAACCTAGGAATTGGGCGACCTGTGGTAGACTTGCAAGCGAGGAGCTCATGACTTTTATCATACCACTTTGATCTCCAACGATAAAATAGTTCATTGGATTATATAGGACACACGAGGTTAAGAATACTTCTGTGTTCCTGGGAAAAGATATTTGACATTTATAATTCATTGTCTCTAAAACTGCAATCTTTTCTTTTGAGATCACGACGATTTGGTCCCACAAAGGATCGACCTTCAAATCTATCGTCCATTCATCAGGGCTAAAGGTGCAGTCAATCATTTGACCTGGTATTAGTTGATCTGTTTGTTTGACAGGAAAATTCCATATCATGATCCCGCCAGCAATTCCCGCCAAAATTTCATCACGTGTTTTGTTATACTCCAAGGAAAGTATTGTGCGTCCTGCAAAAGCCGAGGAAATAGGAATAAACTTGGCGCTGAAAACATGAATAGTCATATCCATGCTGTAAGAAATGTAGATCCATCGCTTCGTTATAAAAAGAAACTGTTTGAACTTGAACGACGTTGGGAAGGTTTTGAGGTCAGTTTTAGTTACGTTTGTGTCTTTAGCCGTTGTTATAGTCCATACATTCAGCTTGTTATTCTTGCCTACTCCGTTATGAGACAAAAAGCAATCCCCTGCAGAACTCGAAGTAACATGAATAGCAACGCGCAGTTCTTCCGGGTTCCACAATTCGTTCTCGAGCTGTAGTCCGTAAGGAATCGTGATGGAGTTGTGTCTTTCATTCTGGTTTTCAATGGTCTCTATGATCTCCTTTAAAACATCCACCCAAGGTTTTATTTTGGGATTAGGCGTTAGTCTTGTGCTGCCTAGAAAAGTCATGATAATATTCTAAATTTCCCACGCGTGAAGAAATAACGATGGTACCGCAACAAGCGCGCGCTTAAATTCGTTAACTAGCCCTTTGTTGCGCAAAATATGTCTCTTTTGTCAAAATGGAATAATTAGGAAATGATTGCAATTAGAATCCTCTCAAAAATACAATCATCTAAAGAAATGAAATTTTAGTTCAAATGCCATATAAACATTGACAGGGGCTGGTTCATAAGGCTAACGTGTAAAATAAATAGATTGCTTACGTCGCACTGTATTATACTTTTTTAAGTTTCGGCCAAATAATACGCGCGTTTCACTGTCGGCAAATCACCCACGAATGAGAAGTTAGATTTCAAAGTCAGGGGAGGGCAGGGTGGGTCAATATTTAGCATGAGCAAGATCTAGAACATTCGCAAAGGCAAACTTAGACACGTAAAATTCCTGTCAAACCTGCGCAATGATCTGGATCGACGTATTCAAACACTTTTGAAAATGATTATACTAAGTGTAATGACTTAATCACTGAACGTCAATACAAATCATAAAATCTATTGTTAAAAACCATGTGAAGCATGCAAACTAGTCTTTATTGACCTTGCTAAACATGGAAAATGGTCATGATTGGATGTAGTATGTCTTATCTATTGTTAGAAGAACAAGAACGATATTTATACCGACCCAAGCCCCATGAAGTTAACGCATACAGACATTGCTAGCGTTTGTTGTATTTTAAAATAACATCAATCTTAGAGCCGTTAAATAGAGTATTAACAGCTTTTTATCACGTTGAACACTAGTTTGTCACATAGCGTTATGTCTGTGTACTTTTCGTAATCCATGGAAACCAAAGGTCAGGGCAGCATTGGCTATTCTTACGATAAAGGATATCAATTCGAAGAAGACTTGCTTATTGCACCATTTATAATCTACCTTCGTTGGCTACTAGCCAAGAATAGAAAAATGACAACGAAAAAAAGACGAGTGTTCTTAGCGGTATAAAGGTGTTGTAAGTCTACTAATGGTATTGACATAGAAGGTTGGAAGATGACGCCATTTGTGACAACCTCAGCACGACCAACAACTTCCTGCCATCCTTCCTCTCGTTAGAAAAAAAACAACAACATCACTACGACATCAGGAAAAATAGTTTTTATTTTCTTCAGTTTCACGGAGTTTTATAGCCTGTGTCATAGTGTTGTTAAAACAATATACTTTAAAACTGTTGGTGTATCGATTACACTCTTTGGCCATGGCGTAGAGTTCAATATAACTTGGCTCGAACAGTGTTTCGCAAACAAAAATATTTGAGTTGTGCTACGTAACGATGGAAAACGCAAAGGATTGTCAGAGCGATGTATTTAGAGCTAAGAATATCAAGCATAAGCCACAGGACAGACAACCTCGACAAAAACATGACAAAGAATGTGGTCTCTACTTTGATAAAAAACTTCGAAAATGTGTGACAAATAACATCAACCCTGAAACGCCTTATCGATGTTCTTTATCTCAACAAAATGGATTAGCGGCAACCCGCGGAAAAGGTTTAATGGAGTCGACTTTTTCCGCGAGAAAGCGCTTGCGAGAGAAGGAACAAGAGAGGGACAGAGAACGAGAAAATTTGCTGGAGTTGAACATGAAGAAACCGAATTCCTTAGTCGTGTTACCAAAGATATCTCAAGAATCCCGACCTTTGGTTTCGATTCCCGTGTCTTCTAAAGAAAACAACGTTAAAGGCTCAAAGGCTGGTCATTTTGAACAACACTTTCCTGATCTCATACGACCACTCAATGCTAGAGAACACTGGGAAAACAAAAAACGCGTTCTCAAAAACCATAGACCCGATCTAAAGGAATCGCAAAGACGATACGAAGACGTTATGCGATTAAGAGAGACGCATTTGCTCTCGTGTAATTTAGTTAAATCTACTCATGTCGCACGACATCAACTGAATTTGCCTCAAATAAGACGCAAGCCAGAAACACAGAATCTGAAGTATTTTGAATATCGTAAAGCTAATGAGAAATCTAATGAGGACAGTACTAGTTCATCATCTTCAGAAGACGAAGAAGAAAAAGTCTTGATATCAGATTTCTCTAGGACATTAAATGACGGGTCTAGAATTATCGCATGTAATCACAAATTATCTATCGAAGTATTTATGCCAAAAATATAAAAGTTTGTATATTAAAAGAACGTCATGACGAATTATTTCCTTTATTGCCAAACTCGAGAAAACAAGTGATTAATTTATTTTTGTCTTTCATTTGTTTCATTTTCTCCCCAAAAGTAGGCGCATTTTCCTCTCTCAATTTAGCTATTGTCGCGCCTCCATTTTAAAATGCATTACGCACTTAAATAATTTAAATATACATTAGATCGTATAACTAGAGTCATATATAGATGACAGGCAACGATGGGGCTCTAGAGGCGCTGTTAGCAACGCCAGAACTTATATGAATGATGAGTTTAAAGAAGGGCGTTGAATTGGGTAGTCCCTTCTAAACTTATCTTCATACAACAGTTTTAGGTACACGAGAGGAGAGTGAATTTCTTTTAGTCTTTCTCTTCAAGAGAGTTTTAAAAGGCAAGTATTTTACATGAAAAGAATGACTAAAATTTGTTGAAGAAATAGATAACGCGCGCGCGTGCTGTGTGCTGTCATAAAGCACGCTGGGGTTGGCAGAACACGAGAGAAGTGTTAGGAGAAGCACGACGCGTAGCGGAGTGCTTCTGGACACTTCTCGAGTGTTCTGCCAATCCCCAAGTGCTGTATGACTGCACACAGCACAGCAAGCAAGTTTTTTATTTCTTTTATAAAATGCAAATTACAATAATAGATAGGAATGAAGCAACGGAAAGTGCGCACGCGTGCAATGTGTTCTCATAAAGCACGCGCTCCAAACCAATCACAGAGCGACATTCATAACAGTTATTTTATAATGCATAATAGTTTCATCCCAACACTCAAAGCTTACCAAAAGGGTGTGCGTTTTCTATACAACTGGACACTTTTAATAGGATAGAATATAATAGATTTACAAAGAACACACAAATTATTTACAATTTATTTTAGTTATTGGACTCAGTCTTGGGGTTCTTCTACAATGTATCCTTCTTCTGCAACTCGTGGTTTATTGGGGTTATTTTCTATCAGCCAGTCAGCTAGCCAAAGCTATAACAAAATAATCATATATCAAATACAATAGTGGATGTGCAACAGCTGATCATAGCTTGGATAAACAAAATACTTACAATAGGATCTTTGGGTTTCATTTTAGCAAGTTCTGTCAGCCCACTGAGTAGTGTTGGGTTAACTACTCTTGTTAAGTAGTCTTTTGCTGACTGACCTGTTGCTACAGGCTCAACTACACCTAAAACAACCAATAAATACAAGCTTGAAATTGCACTGTGAATAACGAACAACATTTTTGATCCAGTATCCTAAGAATCGGGGGGGGGGGGGGGGTTGGGAAAAATAAATAAGTTATTTACCATACTAAAGTCATCTCTAATAGAGAAAATTTGTGCCCTCAAGCTTGGGAAACAAAGTACCTTGGCCTAACCTCCATATTTAAAGCTTCTACTAGGTATATCATTCAAAATTTATGTATACTTACAGTTGTCAAAGAAGAAGTGGATTTCTCTTTCTGCAGTTACAATTGAATCACTTCCATGTAGTGCGTTTCTTGTACCATCTGTACCATAGATAGCTCTCAAGCTAAAAAACAAACATATCTTTCTTAATTGTAGATCAAGCATTTTTTTCCATTTTTTATCCTCCATCAAAATTGACATGACAGTTGAAAGGTGTATGCCTTATAAAGCTGTTTTCACATGAGTGGTACAGTAGAGAATTACAGCACTGCACATGGTACGATTTTCTGTAATGCTTAAATTGCTTACTGTAAATCATCCAACCACAATGCATAGTTAGGTTTTGGTAAGATAGGGTACAGTATAGCTATAAATTTGCTGTATGGCGTGTAGCTTATTCAAAGATCTCTAGAAAATTGAAATTCATTGTATGTGTGTAAAAGTGGTCCAAATTGAAAACCTGAGGTTCTTCAAAAAAGATTGACTACAGTCACAGGGATTGAGGAGCATAATTTCGATATAGGGGGCTAACCACTGCCAAAGTTGAGAAAACCTAGTGGGGTTCGGGGGCAGGCCTCACGGCGGCAAAATTATTGAAGAGGCTAGAGCCCCCTCCCCCCGCCTGCCTCCCACCACGGCCGTCCCTGGAACATTCATAAATGTCTCAAAGCAATGTCAACCCTATAATGTACCTCTCTGGTGCTTGATCTCGGGCTTTCTGTGTATTTGTTGGACCAATCAGTTGCCTCCAGAAGGAGATAGCATTCTCTCTTGCAAGAATCAGGACTAGTATGGGTCCACTACTCATGTATGCAACAAGACTTGGAAAAAACATCTTRCCATAGTGTTCAGCATAGAAGTCACTGGTTTGCTCTGGTGTAAGATGGACTCTTCTTTTCTGTTGGTATTATATCAACCATAAGCTTTATAATATAACTTAATTACAAACCATAAGAAAGTTCTACTAGTAAAATGAAACACAACGTAAGGACTTATTTTGCTAATATTATTTTTAGCCCAAAACCTCGAAGTTGCTACTTTTAATTCATACATAATGGACGAAGAATAAGTTATATTTTAAGATCAGCGTTAAAAAAGAGAAAATATATATTAACAAACTACGACAAACCTGCAAAATAGTAAAGCCATGTTGTAAAATTATTTCCTCGATTTCGTCGCTTTTATGAACAGCATCTGGCTTTATAATTGCCAAAGTCCTTTCGACATAGATTGATGGAGGAGGAAGAGCCTTTGGTTTCTCTTCTAGCGGCATAGTTTTTCTGTGGGAATATTTTTAAGAAGGAATATTTTACAGAAGTCTTTCTTCTCTTGACTTCAAAACAAAATGGCCGTCAAGTTTTATTGTTTGTTGTCAGGGAAACCAGCTGGGTTTACCGCTGACAATAACAATTGTGGACTCAAATGTTAATTTTTTTATAATATTAAGAAGAAAATCCTTTTTATTATGAGAAAAAATTAAGTAAAAGCGTAAATAATATATTTAACATTTGAAGATCATTTCATTTCAAAGAAATAAGACTTTTTGGTGAAAAACGCAAACCTTTGACCAATGGTAATGCATCAGTCTATTTTGTTCCTCCTTGTTTTCAGTGTACGAAAAACATCCGATATCATTTCAAAAACACCACAATAAATAAAGAAAGGGTAAATAGAAAGAAAGAAAGAAAAATAGGAAAAACCTAAGGCGTGATTTAGATTTCCCATAAGCCACTTGGCGCCAAAAACGTTTCTGAACGTTTACCCACAATGCAACAGCTTTCCTTGGACGCCATTTTGAATGTTGAAAGCTAGGCGTCGATAGTTTTATCAAACTTTGAACTTAGTTTTTGGACATTAGAAAAGGCACAACCATGGCGTACAAAGGACAGAAAGTTCAGAAAGTTATGGTCCAACCAATTGTATCCTTTTTAGATTAATAATTTTCATTTTCGAGGTATTTTTTGCCCTTTTTTAAGCCTGACTTGTTGGCACGTGGCTGTGAAATTGTCAATGTACCACAGAGAAATTACCTGAAATGGTACCGTCAAAAACCTAGATATAACTTATCAAGATGATATGACCAAATAACTTTGGCAAAATAACATTCTCACATTGATTTATTCCCGTTTTTTTGTTGTTGTTGAGTAGTGTTCAGTAAAATTTTTTCGAGTTTTTGTTAAAATTGTTATCTGCAGTGAATGCTTGGCTTTGTATTTGATTCTCAAGATACTGTTGTTTCCTTCACTTCTATTTTTCTACAGAACTTGATCTTTAGGTATTTACAGAATGTAAGTATGAATGCACTTGTATGTAAGCTTATACTCTCTCTGATATCACGGTTAATGGATGTCTTTGTTGTTGTAGAGGTCAAGAGTACAGATCTGGCTCTATGAGCAGGTCAACATGAGGATAGAGGGACATATTATTGTAAGTTGTCATGAATTCATGCTGTAATTAACTACGACACTGTTGCATGTTATAAGTGATCTTCTTCCAATAAACCATCATTAACCAAGACCTTAATTGTATGTTGCATTAGCTGTTACATTGATGCAGAGATGAGCATTGTTGCTCTGGCTTGGCCAACACTCAGGATCTTAAAAGATATCTCAGTAAAAGTGCTACCTTTGCTCTAATAATATCTGCAAATAGTTAGACCTTTGTCGCCGCAACAGTAACCCCAACAGTAACCATGTAAAATGACACTGCTTCCTTCTCAAAGTGTTTAAACGAGGGGACACTTAAATCTCTATAAAACACTTTTTTACTTTTTGATTAATAAATGATGTTTTTGATCATATTTCAGGGATTTGATGAATATATGAATCTCGTACTGGATGAAGCAGAAGAAATCCATCTTAAGAGCAAGACAAGAAGACCTCTGGGTATGTATTGGTAATTTTCTTGTGCTGTTGGCCTTTCCTACCATGCACGGCTAGAACTGATAGCCTTTCAACTGACAATGTCTGACCAAAATTAGCACTCTTTCAGTCAGAATTCTCTTAGGCTGGTTCTCTTGACCAATAACATTGACTGGTCATATGTTGGTTGGTGCGCTAAAACTAGTCATCATGTTGGGCCTTTGAAAAGCAGCCAATTTTAGCCCGGCGTTTTTATCTTTATTGAACTGGTCCCCCTTAGGTTGTTCTGAGGATAAACTTATACCAGAGATGCTGTAACTACTTATTTGAGAATCTTTATAAGATTGGCAGTAATCTTGCATGCTTTAATTGATTTAATGGTTATTCCATGTGAGCTGTGTGGTGTTATTTCACAGTTATTCTACATGTACATATAGTAAAACATACTGTCTGTCATTTTCCAGGGCGAATACTGCTAAAGGGAGACAACATAACACTTCTTATGAATGCTACAACAAGCTGATTTATGTACATAGTTTAGATAAAAGGAAAACTTTCCTCAAAACACATATAATTGTGTTTCAAACCATGCCATAAGTGGTTCATTTGTAAATGAAGGACTATAGGTTAACTTCAAGTATTTTTTATCCTATATGATAATAGCACCAGCTATCTGTACATGTAGAACTCCAGCCAATAAATCCCTTGCATGGGACATCAAAGCAGCTCAATTTGGAGGACATAACAAAAGAATTTCAAACTCCTGAGAATGGGAAACCTATGGTTATGTCCTCCAAATTGAACTGCACTCCATTGTACTGCAAGGGGTCTATTCAATTTCTTTTCTCTACTTTTAAACATTTTTCCATTCTCTCCCCTCCCTTCCTCTGATGATCTTCACCTGTCCAGGATTGAAAAGCAACATGCATGTAATAAATTGTTTTGTAACTATCTTCCAATAATATTATATATGTTTTAATGTCACTACCCCAGTAACAAATATTGTATTAATAACAACTCTTTAATATCAAAAGATGAACTTGTCTCAACTTGAAATTGTTTTCAAAATAATTATGCAGCTCAGCAGACAATGCAGATATCATATTTGTTAATCAAAAGAAGTTAGAGGTGAAGGGACTGTGGGGTGTGGGTAGTTTATTCAATCCCCTTAACTTCAAACTCTACAATGGTATGAAATAGTGCTGGTATTTTTGTTTTAAAATTGAGACTGATATATTTTAGGTTTACATTTGTAAATAGACCCCTTCACAGTTCCCTGCGCCATCTTGAAAGGTAGCCGTGTCTTTACATCACAGCGAGACAAACGGTGAGCTTGCAATGATATAGACATGTGAACAATAATATTGTCCAAGGTGTTAAAAAAGGTCTCTATCATTGCAAGCTCACTGTTCGTCTCGCTTCAATGGACTATTCCCATTAAGATTTCTATTAGAGGGGATGAAAACAGATCCATGGGTGGACTGCCTGCGCTGGCCACTTTTCTGTCCACTTCCCATAGAAATAAAATGAAAAGCATTCTCATTGTAGCTTTCAAGGAAGCAGCCACTTTTGATTTTATCCTGCATTTCCCATTGCGGGTGTCTACCCCTTCCCCCTAGGGTGATGTTTTGTCACTCATTGAAAAAGTTAGTGCTAGACCCAGATACTCTTAAAAACCTTTTAAATTGCATTCTTTGAATCAGCACGAAATTTGTTTTGGATATCAATTTTTCAAGCTCATTTCGATAATTTTGTAAAGTTTTTCAACTGTTTTATTTGCGGTTATTCGTCGGTTTGTTTACATCACACTTGTTGTTTTAAAGTCATTTTGAGAGTTCACAAGCAAAAAGAAAACAATTTCAGACCGATGTTTTCACACTGAAGATGTTTGCTTAAACATATTGACTCTAAAGTGATTGAAAAATCCTTTAACAAAGACGACAAAGTACGTTGTTTGCAGTTCGTTTACATCCTTCGTCTCCTGGGAATCCCGTAGCAACGAGATCCCTCGACCCTTTTTCCACACAGATCAAGAAACCCACACTGGTGAAGTACTCCGAGAAAGACGTTCAAGGGAGGCGAGACCTCCACGCCACAAGATCTGATGGTGGGATACCAGTTTTGAATTTTTTGTTATCTGTGTGGTAAAATCCACATGTTGCTTTACCAAGAGTAGAGAATGGAGCCAGCGAGTTAACATAACAGAATCTTGAGTCCGACAAGCCTTGGATTTTGATGTTTTTCGTTGACTTGGGAGAAACTTTTCTCGTGATCGGTCTTGCAGTGGTTGGTTTTTCTGGCTTCAAGTTTGATGAGAAATGTCGTGAGTATGGCGTAGCATAGACGGCTGCATCGCCCTCCCTGTCTAGCTGAACTCTACAACATACGTTGGTTGGAAGCCATACGTTCTTAAAGTCTCTACGACATTTATCGCACTTAAAAGCTTGTCCTTGAACTTGACCAGTGTTTGGCATTGCTGAAGAAAAACCCACGCAGCGAAAARCAAGTCTTTCAAACTCGTTCTTTGATCACGAGTCTCTGTGTTGTTCAAAACTTATTCCAGCCTGATCTTTTCTGGTGTTCAAGACTGCCGACGCGTGCACAATTAACACCGTTAATCCGTTAAATGAGATGCAAATTGAGTGCGCTTTTTGTCCTAATAAAGCTCTAGAATTATGACGTAACTGTTAATTAATCATCAAATTAGCAAACAGTCCGACATATTAGAGTATTTTGACTTCCATTTTTCCGTGGCACTTACAGCGCGCGCGCGCTCGTTCTTTTGGCGATTAAGGACGCAATATCAATTATCGAACAAGATAACGATTTTCTTCCATTTTTTCGCATTTACGCGCACTCGTTATCTACTAACAAGACAATTAGCGCACAATACGTAATGGCTTTTGTGATCGCAGACGCAATTAACGTCGTAGCACTAAGTTGCTTTTAAGTTCAAAAGCACTGTTGTCAAGCACATTCTCGTCACTAAGAGACGAACTTATTCCCTACGTTAACGATTAGCTGGCCAAGACCAGAGTAAAGAAACCAAAGCAAAAAAAAAAAAAAAAAAAAGCAATTGAAGAAAAAATAAATAAAATAAAATAAAACATAATTCCATGCTGGGCAAGTAGAATGAACGGTTCTTATGAGAGTGTCCTAACGAGTTATAAAAGGTGTGCGGCATGATTAGTAAAGGGCAGGAATATAATTTCAAATTGATAAATAGATGAAATGTACAATTAAAAGCCATCTCTTCTTTCTCAGTTTAAATTCATTCAGTATCCACTTTCGCTATTAATTTTTATTATCTTTATAAACATGGTTCTAAGATTAAGTTCATTATGTCTAAGAGTAGTCAATATTTTTGCTTTACTATCTGCAGACTTGCAGACTTTATACTTATGTTAACAGCAAAGTATAATACTTTTTCCTGAGCAAGAAACATGAAGTCGTTTCCAATATCCTTCTCTTAGCTTTATACCTAAATTAATTTCTTAAATTATCTATAAGGGCGGGGCAAGTTTATAATTACAATCATAGAGTCAATATAATACACCATATATGCCCTTTGTTACATCTTAGACATCACATGAGTGATGGTACTACAAAGCTTTGTGATGCAACATGGAATCTTGAGGTCCTCAGAAGCAACATTTACCAAACCAGGACCACTTAATAGACCATTTACCTTGGGTGTAATGTTTTCCCATTTTTTACGGCATTCTCTTGAGTAACATTTCTTTGTTTAGCAGTTGCAGAAAAGAAGATACAAGTGAAGAATCTTATTCTCAAGATAACAATAATTGATTAACACTAAATGACAAAACATTATCCCCAAGAGGTCTATTCAAATTGACAGTGTGCCTAATGCCATTTTTCTTCCCCACTACTCTTCACTATTGGACCCCTGAACAAGAGAACATGAAACACAACCAGGAATTCCATAGTAGAATTCCAGCCAAGCCCCAATTAACTTTTGCTCCTGTCAGGATAGAGGCACTAAATTTGATTCAACGACTATTATTTCCATTAAAAGGATGTCTATATTCAATATGTCCACACAAAAGTTTGTATTGTTTTCATTCCAAGCAGATAGTTTTTCTTGGTTGATCTGCAATATTCATGGTCCTTTCCATGTATAATATACATGGCTACACCTATTTTGGGGTACATAAGGTTTCTCAATGCTCTCTCAAGAATCATCAAACTTGTCAATATAATTACATATTATATACTCATTTCTTAAAGTTATTTAATCCTTTAGGCGCATAAGCTATTAATAATTTCTAGATTGTACCTTCCACTGATAAACATCGTTGGGACTAAACTTTGATACAAGAACTGTGGTCATTCTAAAAACCACAAAAGGAGGATGTAGAGCACCATAAACACTAAAAGCAGGAGTCTTGAAATGGAAAATATAGCATACTCAATTTATGCATAAGATTAAAAGGCTCCTTCTGGACCAATGACTGAATTAAATGAGCATACAAGAGCTTATGCCAGTGCATAACTGAGGTATGAGACCAAGTACGAATATCATATGATATTAGTAGTTTTGACTCAAGGTACTGTTGAGTACTTCCAGTTGTTGCACCAGCATATACTGTGCAGCCTAGTAGGTGTAGACCAAACCAGTGTGTATGGTATATTGTCACGTTATCAAACACTAGAGTTCAGTCACTTCATACTGCAATCTTGCTTTAGAAGTTTCCCACTGCATATTCTGGTAACTAGCATTGCTTAGTTGACTTGACACACTGTTGACACTATTCCGACTGTCTGCTCTTCCTCGTGAAATTGAGCTGCTTTCTTTTCTTCGTTCCTAGAGAAAGTAAGTCAAAATCTCACTGTTAGGAATGTTTGACGTTCAGATGGTGATCAGCCAGTATATATATATAGGCATGACCAAGGAGCATATGATTCAGTGGGAGGGGCAGGAGCTAATCTGGGTGGTCCTGGGGAATGGCCCCACCCAATGAAAATTATTCAATTTAGGCTCTTGGGGAAATGCAATTTCCAGTTTCACAGTTTTGATGGGTAATTGCAACATATTTATTGCATTAGCTTCATGTCAAAGCTACAGGCAACTCATAACAGAAAAAGTTTTTGGTTAAAAACTTCTCAATTTTTTTTAGCAACGTTCTAATTTACAATGACAAGCCTTTTTCCACCCTGATCTTCAGTTTTTGATGTAACGGGTAGTTGCCCTCCTATAGTTGAATTTTAAACAATCATTGAACCAACGAATAATTGAAAATGCATGCATTCCAATGAAATCTGATTCCCCTTTTCCTCCCTTCCATTCRGTGCACAACCCTTCTTGTGAGAACAAAATGACAAAGAACCATGGAATCCAGGGAGGATAGGTCTTTGAAACTGACTGATTATAATTAAACATGCTATCTTTCTTGTATTAAATAATATTAATCTATAAACAATAATAATTAATTTACCATTAAATTTATTACTTATGTTCTCAAAACTATGATGGTTTTGATTTTGTACGAGAGTCACATAAAATATATTTATTAAAGTGTATATGACACGAAAACATTTCATCGTTTAAAATGTATAGTTTGTTAATAATAATAAATATGTCGTAATAAAATTTGTTTCAAAAGCTTATTTCTTGAGATATTTGAGAAAATTAAGCCCAATTTGTGACGTCATTTTGTTGACACGTACTCTAGATTCGGTAGAAATGCACTAAACATAAATTGTAATTCTTATAAAATAACAACAAAAGGCATATTCTATTCAGCTTCATTTGATAGCTTACGAAATACTCTTCAAATGGTGGGAAACTGAAAAGTGTACTACCCGAAATTAAGATTCTGCATTCAAACAAATTTCGTGTATTTGCAACTAAATCTGGAGACTTGTAAACAAAATGACGTCACAACWTGTGCTAAATTTTCTTGAATTTCTAGAGAAATACGTTTTTGAAACAAATTTAACTGTGATATTCTTATTCATGCCAATAAAATACACATTTTTAACATTAAAATGTTTTCGTGTCATATGCACTTTAAAGGAAGTGCAATATTTCAATGGACGGTTTCCGAGATGCGCAAGTGCTTTCATAAATATGGCAAGTGCTGATATGAAAATGAGGCATTTTTGGGCAGTGTCCATGAGAAACCTTTGGAAACCATACAGTTGTATTCAACTTCTACAATCCTTCAAAAAAAGTTTCTGTCTGAAGTGAGTAATATTTTTTCAAAAAATATAATCCAGCTACAAAAAAAAGTCTTTCAGTGACATAATTCAAAGTTTTGATAGCCCATATGAGATCTTACCCGAAAATTCCCCATTTTCAGATCTGAGCAAGCTTGCGGTACTTTTGAATGTACTTGTGAATCTGGGACATTGTCTATTAGTATTTCGTCTACTCTGCATGCAGGCTCAAAATAGTTGCTATTAGCGCAGTTGTTAACTAAGTTAATATAATTATAATTATTAATATTATGCAATATGATAAGTGCACAGTACTTAAATTTTGCCAAATATGGAAGAGGTGCAGGAGAAGTTAGATGCAGTAGTGCAGACATTAGAGGAGAAAATACGAAGTAAAAATTAAAATTAGCTAAGACACGTATGGTGAAAGCCATATAAAACCAAAWTTTTTTTTGTGTTTTCAAGATTATGTATTCTTTTTTCATTATTTCCATCTAAGAATTTTTCAGAATTACACTGAATGATTTAGCAAGCAAAAATATTGAAATAAAAATATGAAATTCTCTTTTTTTTAAAAAAATATCCTTAATTCTTACAAGACTGTTGCTTTTATTTTATCTTTTATCCTATCTGGGTGCTGAATTTTAATGTTCTTATTATTTTGTTAATTTTTCCTTTGAAAGCTGTTCAAAATTATTTCTATTTATAAAATGTCCAATATGTTTTACATTCGACAAATTTCTAGGGTTCTGATTGGCTAATAAGCCATATGTCCAGTATGACTTCCATATAAGGCAATCTTTAAGTTCTGTATCTAGATGAAAGTAAAAGAGACCTGGTAGGAGTTGTCCACTTCAGGTCGAGTCCTCCACACAGGTGACCCTACAGGCTTGGGTGCACTATAGTTCAGAGCATGAATGTCACCATTGATTGGTCGAAACGTTGACATGGGCTTTGCTGATTGGCTGTATCTCTGAGATATCTGAGTATGTGTGGAGGTACCATCTTTCTTGATAAGAACACTTTCAGAGTGGTATGAGAGCTTAGATGGTATTGTATTATATCCCACATCGTTCATCTCAGCTCCATCGCTTCTACGATGTTCCGAATACTGTTCCCTTCGACTGAAGCTGTTCCTTGTCTGTAAGGGCCGTGTATCGAGATCTATACTTGATAACCTTGGTCTCTCTGCTTCCATAACAGTTGACGTTGGACTTCTGTTCATAATAGGTGTATCATTAACTGTTGACATTGACATCATCGACATCTCACTCTCACTGTAGTTTGGACTATCAGGTCGAGTTGGTAGCCCTCGAATTGGGGATATTCTAACAGGAGATTCAGGCGAAGGTGGCCGAGCTAATGGTACTGTGATGATCTTGTCTTTCTCTTTATTTTTCCGTGCACGTGCAGAAGCAGTTTGGTATGTACCTCGTTTTAATGCAAAACCGGGAGGTAACTGAGGTATTTCCTCTTTCTTAGGTGGAGGAGGAATGTCCAGTCCAATTTTCTTCAGTTCAAACATTGATGACTGCAATAGCTCAATCACTTCATCATCATCATATGGGTAAAGATGCATCTGTTCTTGTAAGAATTGGACAACCTCTTCAAGATTCATCTTCATAAAGATTTCTGTAATGAAAAATATAATCCTTTAGATTATGGTACACCAACTAATGGAGGAAGAAATGTAAGTTAAATTATAGGATTCTCTCACATATACAATGAAACACAAAAATCTCTAGAGCACTATAGAAATTGTTGTCCTGTTTGATTCTCTGACTTGCATGATGCGAGAAGATCTTGTTGGGTTTCTCTCTTAATTGAGGGTAGTAGATATTTGTTCTCATGAACAAGTGAAGAAAAAATCCAAACCAGTAAAACATTTGTTTGTGCCTTTGTTTTYTTATGTATTTTCCCTAAGGTTATCCTGTCGCTTATCAAACTGAAATACTAAATTGTGCTTTGTGTGGTGAAAGTTGACAACCTACTTTTGTGCATCTTCATAATATTGTAAGCCATGGCTGTCAAGATCCGGTCTCCTTCCAGCATAAAAATATCATACACTCGAAGCGTCAGTGAAAAAGGAAGCTGAGAAAACAGGAAACATGGAAAGGTTAGAGTTGGAAGTCATTTATTTGGAAATTATGTTGAACATCTTTACTCACTCTGTCCAGGAAACATTGCATAAACCATTTCAATGTATATAGCGTTGTATGGCAACCTTCTCTTTCCTAAAAATGAAACAAAAAAACAATGAACTTGCAGTTGAAGATACAGAATCCCATTTACAGATGTAATTACAATGGCAGCACTTTCCCCTCAGTTATTTTAAGACCCTGAGTGTTGTTCTGGCTTGGGCTCGAGCCCATGACCTTCGGCTTCAAAGTCTAATGCTCGACCAACTTACATGTAGCTAACTGGGTGGGGTGATTATGAAAAGGTAGGGGTAAATACTAATGATGTTAAAAATAACCTCTCTCTTACCAAATGCTTAAATAATCTTGGAGACAGTTTTTTAAGTATTTTGTCATGGTGTTCCTGAAATCGCAGCAGTTTTGGAAAACCAGGGATAAAAAGTCCTATGGACAAAACAGTTTTATCTTGAGTAAGCTTTATTCTGCTGTTAGATGTTCAATTATGTATGATAATTATCACTATCTTACCATGCATGCTGTGTTTCCTTCCTGTTAGCAAAACTGACAAAGCCCAGAACGCATCCTGAAATAGATAACTCATACGTTTGAACACAGGCATATTCTATATTAATAATAAATGTGATCAATATAATGTGGCTGATATAGATCTATGTAATTCTTACATCAATGATATGTATTGTTGAAAATCAATAAGCACAAGTCTACCTTATCAATATTATCATTATCAACACCAACTGTCTTTAATATGATTATCAACAGCAGCATTATGTATAATAATCATCACCACCACAATTATCATAATCATCCTAATCACCACCATTATCACCATCATCATCAGTATTATGCATAATATAATAAAATAWAATAAAATAATAAAATAATAATAATAATAAAGCAATACATTTTTTATGGCAAAGTAGTGTTATGAGAATACCTCTTCATTCAAATACATCAATAACAAGGCTGCAATACCACTCATTCCCTGACAGTAACCAACTTCCTGTAATTAATAAATTTTAAAATAATATGAAAATTAATTATACAATAACATTTAGCTTAGGGGAATACTGTATGGAGGACATAGCAGCATTTCTCTCTCACATGCCTCTCCCTTCTGGGGTCAGGGGAGCAGAGTTGCTATATCTTTCTTGTTATTCGAGAGTAAGCTGCAGTGTTAACTGACCATTATCATGGCATGGAATCAGGGTAACTTACCACATTATACATAGAATAAGCAGCAAGTACATGAAATAAAGATTGCTGTCTGAGAAGACAAAAGAATAAAAAAATATTACATACATAATACACTAGAAATATAAAACAACAGCCACGATAGCCTTGCTGCACACGTAAAATATTTTATTGTACACCATTGAAAATACATCCAATCAAAATGCAAGAAAGCTGCTGTATATTTGACAGTATATTCCACCATTCCTTCCCATCAGGCACTGCAAACTATGGGTTAAAATAGTATTACTCTCTATCCTATTAACTTACTTAATTCCAAATCTTTCTCTAAACATGATATGATCTCGATATGTTCTGTTGACATCCAGATCTATTTGTCTGATGTCTGGTGACTGTAATCTTGCAATTCTTTTCATTGACTGTAAAGAAAAATTAAAATTCTCAGCCAATAAATGATTTGAACATCGTGCTACATCAGGAGTTCCAATAAGGAAAATATATTTAAACTTGTACAGTATGTATATGAACAGAGGTAAATGAATAAATGATTATTAATCATAACATAGCCAAATTGCTATCAACACATACCTCGTAAGTTTCATTTCTATTTGGGATCTTATCGACTCCGAGTAACTTTTTCCACGTCTCTCCACGTAACGAATTAGGAATGCCTTTATATATTCTCTTTCTAAACTATGATACAGAAAGGTATACAACATTTTAATGTAAACCCAGCGATTCAAAACAAAGTTGAGTAAATATTTAACTAAAGCATTGGTATTTTGAGTGGATTTTATTATCTAATACCTTCTCTCCTCTAATATACTTGTCCCAGTGTTTGGTCATTTTAACCCATTTTATTATCCTAAGTCTCTCATGAGCGATCATCTGTTCAAAAAGAAAAGAAATTTGGTTATTATTTAAATAACTGTGAATTAAACACTACAAACATACTCCAAGTCAGACAGATAGTACAGTATGACAGACAGGGCAACAGTCAGTCAGTCAAWCGGACAGCAGGACAGGCAGGCTAACAGAAAGACAGACAGACAGTCAGACAAACAGTATGACATACAGACAGACCATCAGACAGTCAGCCAAACAGATAGTATGGCAGACAGCATACAGTATACTAACCTTTGGATCTTGTGCCTCATCTGGTAAAGGGTTTTTGCTGTGAAYGCAAATAATATCAATATTATATATATATATTACTATACTTTCTAAAAAGCTTTTAATTGGTGCAATATAGATCTAGTATTTACAGGGCAAGTCTAATTAAGACCAGATTCTATACTGAAATGTTTGTTGTAATGACAGAACGTTTCAAGGAAAATATGGCACTTTCTAGATTTGTATGCTAGATATTTATTTCAGCAATGACTTCTGCCATCTTCCAATATTTGAGTAACTGACCAAGTACGAGGTGTGAAGATATATGGAGAATGAATCCTTTGCTATAGGTATGTAGAGGACAGGAGCAAAATCCCAGGTGCAAAATACTGACAAAGAAATGACTGTTATTACACTATAACTCTTGTTATTGTGAACACTCATTCATATGGACACCAAGTGACTGTCCTGAGTCTGTCCGCTGTATCAAAAGACTGCATTCCATCCAAATGGAAGAGAAATGATTGAAATTGTATTAAATGTCCCAGGGAACCAATCAGATTGCTCCATTTGTGTAAGGAATGGCTTGCTATATAGGTAGTAAAGTACACTTACTGCAGGAACCCATATCGGTCTGTAACTTTATACACAAAGTAGTTAGCATCTTCCCAGTCATCTACTTCAGCACCATCATCATAGCCCTTATACAAAAACAAACAATGAATTTTTGGTTACTAGGTTTTTATACTCTACAAGAAAGATTTATGCAGCTTTATTACTCAATTTAGCCAAAAATTTAGTTAAGAGCCATAATCTCAAACCCACCAAGTACCAGAAAAACAGCATGGAATAGGTGTGAGATATCCAAGGAATTATTGTGATTCTCCTAAAAGTTTGATTGGGAGAGAATTGCCAATATAAACTTGGATGGTGGTGTTCAAGATGACAGGCTGTACTGTTACTGATTCTATAAGAAGTACAATCCTTGATTGCACATTACTAACCCGATCATATCTTGCAATGATGGCAGCTCTGGCTTTGTTGCTGTCGTCATCTTCTGATGAAATGCCTTGTTAGAGGAATATTAAATAAAATAACCTAAACTGTACTAATGTTTTCTACAAGTGGGCCTGGTTGTACAAGGGGTGGATAGTGCTATCCAATGAATAAATCTTTATCCAGTGGATAAGTTGATGCCCTTACCCAGTAAATTTATCCTTCGTACAACCAGGCCCCCAGTGAATAAGAAAGAAACTTCAACATCATGTAAAAAAGTTTGGGACTGCACTAATGTTTGAGATGTTAGTTTTTCATCAGAGTAAAAGAGAAAATTATTTACCAAAGAAATGAAGTTTGTAATAGAAAGATAAGGTGAATTAAAATGATAAAGAAACTGGTTTGTAATCTCTTGTCATCATATTTTACTATGGGTTAAGGATACATGTACATCGTAAATCCCCTAGAATAGCTAATATGAATGCATATAAACAGCAGAACAGTAGATATATCGAATATATAGAAGGGTCTTAGGTCAAAATAAATAACTAGTAAGATAGGATTTGTAAATACTGAAATATCAGTCAATTACAAACTATATTATACAAGGAAATCTAGCATCTAAAATATACATCAATATTTAAATATATTCAATATATAGTTATAGTTAATAAATCACTTTATTCATTTATAGTAATTAATCAGAAAAACATGCAAAATCTTCAAGAATGTAAAACGTTTTCTGGATCGAATAAACGTTAAGTAAATAGTAATTTAAATATCTAGAACACAATGATTGCGTGTTAATTTATGTAGAACATGTTTTACTATGAATTAATTCCTAAAAAATGCAAATGATAGGTTATACTGAGAATTAACAGTTTATAGCTGCTTGAATCTTAAAAAAGCAGATACAACTTTGATGTTTAGTGCGAAGAAGTGTACCTAAATAAATTCTGTAAGACTTATTTGTAAATACCAAGCAAAAATTAAGCTTACCTACATGTACATTTCGTGATGAATTAGAGTTCATATAATTAACAAGATCATTACGTGAAAAATCTCATGAATCCGGAAAGAAATGCTAAAAGTGGAACGAATTACGCGGACGTATATTCAGGTTACTAAATTCTTAACAGATTAAAATCAAAAATATTCCAATGAAAGGAATTAAARGTATCGATCGCAAATAGAAGAAAGAATCGCCCATCATCGACTATTATTTTTACGCTACTATTTATTCGTCTGATGAAAGATTTCTACCTGGCCTTATCTTCGAAAACAAGTTGGTTGATGTATGCAAGGAAATAAGAGTAAAAAAGATTTATTTTGTTTGACGAAAAATAAGGTCATTTTTTGATTTATTTGATGGCGATCTTAACATTTTGACCAAATATTATACGTATTTTTGTCTGTATTCCCATGAGGTGTGGCAGAGAAATTACGGCAACGGAGAATCAGAATTATTACAGCTATATTCATAGAGAATCTGGCATTAAATGATTTCAAATTGAAATAAGATCTATAATTCAAGGAGTTCAGGTTTCTCTAATTTTAGCATTTGGAAGTCATAGGAATTTTTGGATGAATTGATCAAAGATATTTAGTAAATATTTGGGACATATGATCAATTTTAATCCATGGCTTCTTTGATTCCTGGTTAATAATACGAAGACCAGTCTTTAATATCGGGCATAATATGAATATTTGAGAAAAATCTTACGTTTAAAAAAATATATTTAGTAAAAGATACTCAAAATCATAGTACGAATACCYAAAATTGCATGAAAATAACACATTTGATATCTTATTTCAACGCGAAGATACATCCATACTCACTCATTTTGATTTGAATCTGTAGATACTACGTTGAAGTATTAGTAATGGTCTTTCTTTTGATCCTGGGCTTAAACAAAAGTCTTTTCTTGTGAATATTTTCACAGTGTTAGGTAGCTTCCGTCCGTAAACACTAGCAGCTAGACAAGCAGTCAGCCTCAACCATAAACTTCTTCTTTTCACAAACTTCTAGTAAACGTAGAGATATTTAAAGCAGTAGAATACTAGATAGATAAATTTTCCTGGTATTGGCGCAGTAAAATTGAAGATACATTACTATTTAGGGGTAAAAAACCTCGCTTAAATTTGAGGTTTTGATCAAGATATTACGGCACTTCCTTCATCTCGCCATGTTTTACTCTTACACACTGCGCATGAGCAAAAACATAACCGAGCCTCGTTATGACGTGTCCTGGGAAAAATGGGTTGGGGAGGGGTGTGGCACAATTTCGCATTCCCAATTTTTCTTATTCGTTTATTTTCATTTTCGTGCATCCCCAATTTTGAAGTTAATGAATGATTAGAAGCCAAAAAAGGTTAGTCAAAAATTCTTGCTTTCTTAGCAAAAGCCAAATTGTCCTTTGAACTATGTTTAAGAGCGACTGTCTGTAAAAATCAAACAAAATCAGAAATATGTGGAAAGGCTCAAATTTTCGAATTCGCTCTACTTTTGGATTTTAGTAGTGCATAATGAAGGAAGAAACGCTGTGTGGTTAGTTTTGAAAAATACTTTTTCGTTTTCGAGAAATAGGGAAAAATCGGTTTGAGCTCCAGGGACGATTTTCGCTGCCAAAAGATGGCTGAAAATTGCTTACTTTCGCTTGGTCCGTGTATCAAAACTATTAATCCAAATAGCCTTCTAATACTTTCTGCCAAAAGTACAACTCTTATTTGCTC